TCTATCATGAGGGCATCTTCAGGATTAAAATTACATTTTCTGGGGCTTCCCTGGTGGCGCAGTGGTTGAGCGTCCGCCTGCCGATGCAGGGGACGCGGGTTCGTGCCCCGGTCCGGGAAGATCCCACATGCCGCGGAGCGGCTGGGCCCGTGAGCCATGACCGCTGAGCCTGCGCGTCCGGAACCTGTGCTCCGCAACAGGAGAGGCCACAACAGTGAGAGGCCCATGTACTGCAAAAAAAAAAAAAATTACATTTTGAGCCTAGAAACAACTCCTTCCATAAATATTGTTAAAGAATAATTAAAGAGGTACAGGGAGGGACTTCCCTGGTGGTGCAGTGGTTAAGAATCCACCTGCCAATGCAGGGGACACGGGTTCGAGCCCTGGTCCGGGAAGGTCCCACATGCTGTGGAGCAACTAAGCCCGTGCACCACAACTACTGAGTCTGCGCTCTACAGCCCGCGAGCCACAACTACTGAGCCCTAGTGCCACAACTACTGAAGCCCGCGTGCCTAGAGCCTGTGCTCCGCAGCAAGAGAAGCCACTGCAATGAGAAGCCCGCGCACTGAAACGAAGAGTAGCCTCCACACGCTGCAACTAGAGAAAGCCCACGTGCAGCAACGAAGACCCAACACAGCCAAAAATAAATAAATAAATTAAAAAAAAAAAAGAGGTACAGGGAAAGGTGCTGGTGATGCGGAAAACATTCTCACCATGGGGCTCTTGTTTGCCTTCTGCTGTGGTAGAATACAGCTTTCTTCAACTGGATAAAGTAGTCATGAGATTTGTCGGGTGCTCCCTTTATTTGGGGCGTGAACACTGATCTGTTCTGGGAGGGGGCTCTTCCGCCCCAGCCTGCCCCCCCCGCCTCTCCCCACTGCCCCCTGGTGGTGTTGGGCTGTAGCTGGAGTTAGCGGAACTCAAGGGTGAGACCCCCAACTTCAAGTTCAGAGGATTCCCCCAAACTCTCTCAGGTTCGATAATTCACTAGAACACCTCTCAGGACTCAGGAAAGCACTGTGCTTGCAATTACAGTTTTATTAGAGCAGAAGGGTACACGTCAGAACCAGCCAAAGGAAGGCTTTGGCTTTTGCCAAGTCTGGGAGGTGTCCAGATGTGAAGCTTCCGCCATCCTCACCCCGAGGAGTCCTGACGCCGTTAACCCTCCCAGCCATGATGTGTGACAATACTCCGAGTATATTGCCATACCATAGACTGGGGGCTTAAACAACAGAAATGTATTGTCTCACAGTCCTGGAGGCCAAAAGTCCAAATTCAAGGTGTCGGCAAGGTTGGTTTCTTAGGGCTGTGAGGGAAGGATCTGTTCCAGCCCTTTCTCTTAGCTTCTGAAGTTCCAGCTTATGGTGACTAATTTTCACATGCTATTCTCTGTGTGTGTGTGTGTGTGTGTGTGTCCATATTTTCCCCTTTTTATGAGGACACCAATCATATTGGATTAGAGCCTACCTTACTTTAACTCTGTAAAGACCCTATCTCTAAGTAAGGTCACATTCTGAGGTACGGGGCTTTAGGACTTCAACATATGAATGGGGGAGGGGGAGACACAATTGAACCCATAACACAGTAGCACCCAACCTGCATCGCAGCTTCCCCTGGTGGTGGCCAGAGCCCTTCTACCATGGAATTGCCGCTCCTACAAGGCTCCTATGCGCCTCTAAACAGTTCCAACCTGCCCTCTGGAGAGGCAGGCTGGCATCAGACGCCAGGGCCAGGGCTTTTATCCAGGCCATTGTTACAGATGGTGCCTCTGAAAGCTGTGTTTTAATACCTTCTCAGCAGTGTCCCCCCTGCGCTCCCCCCCTCTCTCCGGCCAGAAGCCTCATGTGATCAGGGGCCCCACCAGCTGCTGGCTAGGAGGGAAGGCGGGTGTCTGCAGTCATCTGCTGGGGATGGGGGGGCCATTTATTTGGGGGGCTCCCTGGCAGAGCAGGGGGGAGGCACCAGGTGGCCAGCCTGTGTCTAGCCTCAGACATGCCTGCAGACACAGCAGCAAGGAGTCATGATTTAACCAGAAATCAGGTCCTTGCTCTTGGCAATAGGGTTATTCTCTTTCCTGACCTTTTCCCCCAGCCATTTAAAAGGTTGCCGTGGGTGTATCTCATGGGCACATCCCATGGGTGTGTCCCGCCCTTATTCCTTCTCAATATGCAAAACACACCTACAGCTGACCCTCACTTCTGCGGATGACAGCTTGGAACGGCCAGGAATTGCACATCTGTTCCCAGTACCAACTTGAAGAGCATCTGTGTTCCTTTGATGCCCCGTGTTTATTTCTCTCTTGACAGATTGTGGGCTCATAGCTCAATTAAGTGAAGGTAAACTAGATGACTTATATTTCCCAGCAAAGGCCAATGCAAGTACCTTGTGCCTTTGAGTCAGGCTTCTCGGTCCCTCTGAAGGACCCTGAAGGCCATGGGCCCTGAGGACTTGCTGGGACATGGGAGCAAGTCAGATAGCATGTCCCCACATCTGGCTGGGATGAAGCTCCCCAAGGGTATGAGGATCTGTCAGTCAGAGAAAACAATACTGGCTACTGCTGGTGCTGGGTCAAGAGCAGCCTTGGGCCCGAGGGACCCCAGCCCAGGAAGTCCTGCATTTGGGTTGGGGTGGGTGGAGGACAGACCATGCAAGTACAATGGCATGTGGGGACCCTGCAGTGATTGTAATAATCATCACAGCTGTCCCTCACTGAGGGTTTACACCAGCCTGAGCCCTCTATATGCACCATCTCCTTCACTTTGTACAAAATCCCTACAACGTCTGTATTATTACTACCACCTTATAGATGAGGAAACTGGCTGGGACAAGTTAAGTAACTTGCCTAAGGTCAAGGTCAAAGCTGCAATTCACACTCAGTCCTGCCCGACTTCCAGTCTGTGCTCATGGCCTCCCACCTGGAGTCCAGGAAGAGCTGAGCCTGGGACCCTGAACTAGGCTCGGCAGAGAGACCCTTTGATTTCTCCACCTCCTTCCTCCTCCAGGACCCCTGACTCCCACGGGGAGACTCAAAGTCTCATAATGCTGCACAGGATCCACACCCCTGACCCCGGTTACTGGAATGTGTTTTGTGAGGACAGAGCACGGCATTTGAATTAGATGGACCTGGGATCTGATCCCAGCTCTGCCGTCACTCATTGTGCATCTGTGGGTGAGTTGCCTCCCCTCTCTGACCTCAGTCTCCTCATCTGTGAAATTGTTACTGAACCTGGATTTGGGTCTGCTCGCCTGACATGCAACAAAGTCCATCTACTGACACTGGGCGATGGTAAAGGAAAGTACAGCGTTTCTTGCAGGTGCCAAGCAAGGAGAACGGGCAGCTCGTGCTCAAAAGACCGGAACTCCCCAAAGGCTTTCAGAGAAGGGGTTTTAAAGGCAGTATGACGGAGGGAGCTGCAGGGTATGTGATCAGCTTGTGCTAAATTCTCGGATTGGCTAGATCCAGGTGAAGTTTCAAGCATCACCAATCTTCTGGTTTCAACCCATTTGGGGCCTACATGCTTGCAGTCAGTAGTTTTCATCTAGTGCAGGATCTGCTTCCTATTAAAACAACTTAGGAATGTGTGTCAGACCTTTATCTATATCTTTCAGGGAACTGGGAGTTCCATGACTCTGCTATGTGGCTGATTTATAGTCTAAATTGTTACCAGTTTCCCAGCCCAACAGCTACTGTATTCTTTGTTTCTACATCTTTTACTTCAAAGGACAGGGACACAGGGGCTTGTATATGGTTTCAATCCCCCCTTTTCTTTGATACTCCTCAATCTTGAGGGTAAGAATTTTGGGACAAGAAAGGTAATAAAGTGTTGATAGAGAGGGTAATCATAAACTCAGTAGAAGAACTCGGTTTTAAAGGGACTCGCTTTCAAAGTGATCATCATTTATCCATTCAACTACTTTAGAGGACAAGACAGCAGATAACAACAAACAACTGTTGGCAAGGACATGGAGCATTTGGAGTCCTCATACACTGCTGGTGGGAATATACAGTGGTGTGGCCACTTTGGAAAACAGTGACCTCAGAACCTTAAATATAGAGTTAGCATGTGACGCATCAATTCCACTCCAAAACAAACGAAAACATATGTCCACATAAAAACCTGTACACAGATGTCTATAGCAGCACTATTCATAACAGCCAAAAAATAAAAACAAGCTATTTGTCTTTCAGTGGGTGAACAGATAAACAAAGTGTGGTCCATCCATACAATGGAATAGTATTTGATAATAAAAAGGAACAGACTACTGGCACATGCCATGACGTGGATGAACTCAAAAAAACACTGCACCAAATGAAAGAAGCCAGACATAAATAGGTCCCATGTTGTATGATTTCTTTTACTTGAGATGTCCAGGATAGGCAAATCCACAGAGACATAAAGTAGATGAGTGGTTTCGGGGCTGGGGAGAGGGGAGAATGGGGAGGGACAGCTAATGGGGATGGATTTCTTTTGGGGGTGATGAAAATGTTCCAGACTTAGATAGTGGTGATGGTTGCACGAGCTTGTGAATATACTAAAAAAACTCTGAATTTTACACTTTAAAATAGTACATTTTTTGGTGTGTAAAATATGTCTCAATTAATTTTTTTTCAAAAGTAAAGGGATATAAGACTGCTCAGAAAACTATAAAATATTATTGAGAAATGGCAGATCAAATAAGTGGAGAGATACAGTATGTTCAGATGGGAAGAATCAATATTGTAAAGATGTCAGTTGCCTCCAAATTGATCCATAGATTCGGAGCGTCCCCAATCAAAATCTGGCCCCTTACCTTCCCAGTCTTAGCCCAGGGTCCCACACAGTGGAGGAGCCCCCAACCTAAGTGAACATTCTCACCTGCTTTCTAATGGAGGGAGAATGAGATGTTGTACATGGAATCTCTCTGAGACCTCCCTTTTCACAGCTCCAGATGGTACAGCCCAGGGAGCCAGGCTCCGAAGACCTCCCAGTCCCCTCCAGAATGGACTCGGAGCACGGCTGCATCATCTCTCAGCAGCAAATGTCTTGCCTCGGTGCAGCAGCCTCCAGCTACACCCTTCCTTTCAGAGTAAGTGATTCTGGGCTTCCCCCCAGCTCTCACTATGTAACTCCATGTCCTAACAACTCCTCTCCTCTCCTCCTCCTCCAGTGCCCTGCTTTGCCCAGCTGATAACGATGCTGTTGCAGCATCCAGGACCACAGGGATGGAGGCTTCCCAGGAGCAGGGACTCTCTTTCTCTTTGCCATCTGCAGCCTCCAGGTACACAGTAGGCACTCAGTGTTTGCTGAATAACTGTTAGTGCCTTGAGGCAGGCAGGCAGAAGAGACAGCCCCACAGTATAGAGCACCAAGGGAGGGGCGGCAGGAGGTGACGGCGACAGAGTAAGGCAGTGGTCAGGGCTTCTGCAGAGGGGTAAGGAGTGAGACAGAGCAGAGAGAGCTCTGTCCCAAGGGACGAGTGGGGACAAAGGCCCCAAGTCTTGGGGGCTGGCTCTGCCTTACACAGACCATGGGACCAGGCCCTTCTGGTCCAGGGAGGGGCACCAGCAAGCTTGGGAGCCTTTTCCCCCTCATGCCTGTGGTTCAGGAGGAACAGGGGCTGCCGCCACAATTCTGGGAACAGCACGTAATGGGGTGAATGAGAAATGCCTGGGGGGGGCACTGCCAGCTCTTTCCCCTCCATTACCACACCCACATGGGGGGGCATCACAGGGAGACGGAGCTCCCCAGACCCCACCAGCACCCAGCGCCCCAGCCCTTCTCCCAGGCCAGCAGCACGCCCAGGCTTCTGCTTCAAGGGGCTGGGCTTCCGAAACCCACTTCCTAATTAGTTTTCTCCCACCACACCCTGATGTGCTGTAACAACAGTGCACGAGACCCTATCTGCGGCGGATGTCACTCAGCTCCCCAGAGCATCCCGGGTAGGGAGGCACGCCTTCATTAAGCAAGTTAATTACTTGCCAACTTGGGAGCCTGATCAGGCCTTAGGCAGGGGATGCCCTGGGTCTGCTCTGATCCCTGTAATCCCAGGGCGTCCCTGATGCCGACGTGGGACCTAGCTTGGGGCTTTCTGAGCATCCCAGAATCCCGCATTCATCATTTGGCCGAGAAATCTGGCCACAGACTGGTGGGCAGAAGGAGCCTTAGTCTGGGCAGGGATGTTCATAGCAGGAGAAATGGCTTGAGCAAAGAGAAGAGAAGTCAGAGGTGGGTTCCTGCTGGTACCCAAAGCTCCTGTAAGGACTTTGCTCTGTGACATGAGCCTTCAAAGGGTTTTGAACAGAAAAGCAGGAAGGAGGGACACGACCTACCTCATGCTTTCCTTCCAGCTGCCCCGCTGAGATTCAATTGTGGGAACAGCAGTGGACACAGGAAATATGAATGCAGCGGTCTGGGGTACAGAGGATGACAGCTTGGGCGGGGGCGGGAGCGGGGGTGGTGGGATTCTGGATGCGCTCTGCAGGTGGCGCCCGTGAGACTTGCGGATGGGTTCGGTAGGGCGTGTGAGGGGAGGAGGGGAAATCAAGAAAGCTGCCACGGATATGCGTGAGCAACTGGACACCGGAGTTACTATGAACTAGATAGAGGGTCCTCGCGGAAGGCTTAGGGTGGGGGAGGAGGTATTGGGAATTCAGTCTGCGGGCTGATGTCTAAGGAGACATCCAAGTGAAGGAGTCGAAAAGGCGATTGTACCTGTGAGCCTGCAGTTTCAGGGGAGGTCTGGTCCAGAGCAGTACACTGAGTGGTCATTGATGAATTGATGGCTTTGAGGCTCACCAAGTGGGGAGAGTGTAGTCGGACGAAGAGGCCCGAGGTCCGAGCCCTGGGGCCCAGTTAGGGGGTGGGGGAGGGGGAGGGGCAGCGTGGGGGGCGGGGGCTGGGGATGAACTGTCGGATTTAGCAGCGGGGAGGTCGTGGGGCTTCAGGAGCCGCTCCCGAGGATCCGTGTGGGCAAAACCTACCTGGAAAGGGGTTTAAGAGATGGGGGGGGCCGGGGAGAGCGTTGGAGGCTGGGGGAGTCTTGTTGCGAAGCAGAGCTGGAAGATGGGCAGAAGCTGGAGCAGGAAGTAGGGTGGGAAGGGAGGGTTTCCACGTGGCAGGAGTACCCCGTCCCCCGCCTCCCCTTCGAAGCCACACTGTGGAGTGCAAAGTCGTGATTTTACCAAATTCAGAAGGAATCCAGGCGGCCCACAAGCTACACCAACGGCCACCCCCAGACAGATGTCGCCACTTTCCCACCCGCCCGTGACTCCTTGGCGCTGCTGCAGGGACTGGCAACCCGTGCCTGCCTCCTCCCCTGCCTCCCTAGATGAGTAATGTAGGCGCTAGTCTAAGTTAAAACCAAATAAAGCAATTGGGAGTGACTAATTCCTCGTGCAATTTATGTCCCCCCAGACGTCTTGCTGGTAACAATGCCGGGAGCCATTTATCCCCCTTAATTTCAGCTGTGCTGCTACTGGAAGGAGCTGTCCAGCTGAGGTAGCCCTGTCTCGTGCAGCCCAGGGGGCAGGTTGGCCACACAACTGCCGGAGGGCTGTCCAAACCTGCAATGTACACGGGCGGGTTCTCAAGAGATGGCATCACACACGTAGCCATTCACAAGGCCATCTCAGGACTTCACAGTTGGAAACGATGGAGGGAGAGTGCTGAGCTGGACCAGAGACAGTGTGATATGAGCAGGTCCCCGAGGACCAGGGGCTTCAGAAAAGTGGCAAGAAGCTGCGGGGAATTACGGTGAGCAAACATGTCCGGAAGAACATGAGTGGGGCAGGGAGAGGAGGTGGAAGGAGAGAGAGAAGGGAAGGACCCTCCTCCCCCAGGCCCCATCTCTGCCCCCTCAAATCTGCCCCGCTCCTCAGGCAGAGCCCTCAGCCCCCCTGGGGTCCCAGCCCCTCACCCTCCCCTGACCTCAGCCCTGTCCCGACTGGGCTGGGAGCATCTGTGTCCAGCTTATCCTTCCTCTAGACTGGACACTCCTTGCCGAGTGGGAGTCTGGGAGAAGAGGCATCTAGCAGAGGGAACAGCCAGTGCAAAGGCCCTGAGCTCCCACATTCTTCCGTGTGTTCAAACAGCAAGGAGACCAGCAGAAGTGGCAGGACCTGGATCTGATCCATGTCGTGTTCAGCACAGGCCTGGCACGTAGTAGGAGCCTTAAGGATGGCAGGTGAATGAATCGGGAAGGGGTAGATAGATATATACGTGTGGGGTAGACGGCCCCTGTCCAGGCATCACTGTGGTTGTATTATGCTCTGGACCTGAAACGTGTCTGCTTCAGTGCTGTGAGCGTGGGGTGGCCATGGAGTCCTGCCTTTGTCTCCCTGAGTCCCCTCCAGGGCTGTCGGAGCTGGGTGTCAGAACCCTGGTGATGAACCGAGGCTGTTGGTACCTTCCTGCCTGCCTGACACACAGGCAGCCCTCCCACCCAGCAGGGGGCCTCGGTGTCCTCCTCTGTATGATGGGGAGGCTGGGGGGGGGTGTCCAAAGTGGAGACAGGGGTGGGGGTGAAGGTCTCGGAGAACCTGGCTCTTGTAATCAGCCCTGTGGGCCGGGGCATGTTTCCTTCCATAAAAGACTGGGGGTGGCAGGAACCTCCCTGGAGGCCCCAGGACGTCCTGGGGTCACCCTAGGGAAGGCACTAGAGGCAGAGACAGGAGACTGGGGGCCCCACAATCCCCAGCAGCAGGCTCTGAGTTTGGACAGGCGGCAGAACGCAGACCCTCCTCCATCCTGTGGGAGGAGCAAGGGCTGCAGGGATGAACCCTGAGGCTTCCACCCAACTGATATACGGGGCTGCTTCATTCCCTCCAGGGAACAGGGTCCCAGGGGCCTATCAGGGAGGGAGGCCTTGATTCCTGAGTAAAGGAACATGCATTGAGCACCTATTGTGTGCTGGCACACCTCCACAGGCCTCTTCATTAATTCTCACAAGCTTGAGGTAAGCAGTCTATCTCCATCTTAAAAGTGGGAAACAAGCTCAGAGATGTAGTGTGACTACCCAAAGGTCACACAGTATGTGAGTGACTGAGTTGGGGTTCAAACACAGATTTCTCTGGCCCCTTGTGGATTCTACCAACCCACTGTTGGCTATCTGCTCCTGAATCCTGATTTCAAGAAATGCAAGTTTTCAGGTCAGAGAAAACATTTGATTTTCTCCTTGAAGGGATGATTCTCCTGTCCCTGGAGTTCAAAGGGGCTTCAGTTACTCTCCCTATGTCATACTTCCCAGGATGAGTCAAAGGCACCAAATTTACTGTGTTTAAAGCGACTTCTTGAGCATCCCAGTAAAGGCTCTGATTTATATCCAAGACGTTGTTTTAAACATGTAACAAATGATAAAAATCAGTCCTGCCAATGCACCTCAAGAGAAGTCATACTAAGGGAGGAAAAGAAACGGTGAGATTAGATGTTTCATTAAAAGATAGAGTGATGGATTAAGGCCCAGAGTGTGAATTTAGTGTGACTCGCTGAAAGAAAAAGTTGGGGGGCAGTAAATCCAAAGTGACAATCTGTGTACGGTGGACCAATATTTTTCACTTTTATTATACTTTGTTCAGAATTGGTGATGGGTCGTTATTTAAACACATACACACACCAACAATCCTCAATAAAGCTTTTAAGTGAAAGCTTCTTGTGCTAAGGATACAGGCTAAAATCTCGACTCCAACCCTCTGTGTCAACTCAGAGAACATTGCATAATGCAAGTTTCTTCCTGTCGTATCTAGAAAACATTCCAAAGGCAGAAAATGTGGGAAAGGCTCTCAGAAGATCCCCAACCACGCCCAGGAAGAGAGGGAAAAGTAGCACCCACATCTTCCGAGTGGCAGAACCCCACGCCCACCCATGCCAGCGTCCTCATCAATAACAATAGCAGTGCTAGCGATCGATCGGAGGGTCTGACATTTCTCCTGGTCACTCATTCAAAGGGCTCTAAGAGCAAAGGTGGCTGGAAGCCAGGGCATGCTGGCTGCTCTTCGCATTGGGAGGTCACAGGTCCCGGTCTCCACCAGAGATGTTGGGGTGGATTGGATTCTTGTTCCCAGTTCTTTCCTCCCTGTAACTGGACATGGACAACACATCCATGGCCTCTGCTCTGTGACTTGCAGCATTTCTCACTGTGGGTGGGGTACATGTCCCTGCCTGAAGAAGACAACCCCCTTAGTCCCAGCCTCAGCCATATACATGCCATGTAGGTAGCACCCCACTCTGCCTTCTATTTTAAGGTAACTCCAATCACCTCCAAATCCACCCCCTAGGCCTTGTCCTCCCAAGAGACTCATGGGAAACCTGCTTCCCCTAAGGATGTAACTTTGAGTATATTTCTGTTCCCCCAAATTCGAGCTTCTGTCAGTTTTGTCAAAGGAGTCTCTTTGTCATAGTATTTTTAAAGAACTCTAGAATTTCTCTACCAAGGTTTCCCCATGGAGCCGCAGACCCAGGCCTACTTATGAAATGTTATTAGGACCCGCAGAGGCCTGTGGAGGTGGGGCAGGGGGAGGGGAGACAAAATTGGAGGTCTAGTCAAAAAGCCATTCCTTCTCTCTCTTCCCCTCTGCTCTAGATTGGCACGTGGCCAGTGAGAGGACTGTTTCATGGGGGCTCCCGGTGGCCCACGCCCCCAGCATTCACACTTTTGTGTGGTCACCTCCCATACACTCTGGGCTTGGCCATGTGACCTGCTTTGGTCAAATGGGATGTTAGCAAGCTTGACACAAGCAGAGTCTTGAAAAGGACCATGCAGATTAGGGATTGTGCTCTTGGAAGATTCCCTTTTGGAACCCTAATCCACACTGCTGGGGAGAGAGATCTGCCCGGCCAACCCCCAGCTATTCCAGCCATCCCAGCTGAAGTGCCAGGCATGTGAGTGAAGCCATCTGGAAATTTTCAACCCCAATCAAGCCTCCAGGTGACTGCAGCTGCATGGGGAATTCCAGATGAGACCAGCAGAAGAACCATGCTGCTGAGCCCTGTCCAGATAACAGAATAAATAAATGGTGGTTGTTTTAAGCCAGCAGGTTGTGGGGTGGTGTGTCACACAATGTGGTGGATTGAAATATGTCTGTAAGTTTTTTGACACTCCCCTCCAAAGAAAACGAAGCCTAATTCTTCTCCACTTGTATGTGGACTAGACTTAGTGACTCACTTCTAATGAATAGAATAAGGTGGAAGTAATTGTGTAAGACTTCTGAGACCAGGTCATAAAAGGCATTGCAGCTTCCTTGTCTCTGTCTCTCATAGCTCACTTTGGGGGAAGCTAGCTGCCATGTTATGAGGACACTCAAGCAGCTCTATGGAGCGGTCCACACGTGAGGAACTGAGGCCTCCCACCAACAGCTGTGAGAGTGAGCCATCTTGGAAGCCAATCCTCCAGTCCTGTCAAGGCTTCAGAAGACAACAGACCCCACCAACATCTTGACTGCAACCTCTCAAGAGACCCTGAGCCCAAACCACCCAGCTAAGCCCCTCCTAGATTCCTGACTCTAAGAAACTGTGTGAGATAATAAATGTTTATTATTTGGAGCTGGTAAGTTCTGGGGCAATTTGTTATGCAGCAATAGATAACTGATACACACAGCAAGAGATGACTAAAGTAGCCAGTGTGCTCTGGTACCACTCCGCAGGTTGTCTACACACTGGAATATGACATAGTAAATGGCCTCTGCTCCAAGCTCTCTGAGGACCACCCAGCTGTCCTGGCCATCCCAGAAACACCCCTGGAAATCCCAAACCTTCTTTTGATCCTTCAGTTATAAGGGGGTCCTCCTTGGCCTGGCAGAGGTCCTGCAAAACCCTGGACCCTGCCGTGGCATGTGGCACAAGTATTTTGACATCCCCCTGTCCCACTCATCCTGTTGGTGGAGAGATGCCCATCAGGGCATCACAGAAAGAGTCTCTGTGTTGACCTGCCACCCCATCCCCCCAGATCAGCCACTTTCATACACTGCTGACAGGAGTACATAGTGGTACAACCCTCCCACGGAAGGAATTTTGATCACAGCTAACAGAACTTCGGGCATTTTCCCCGAACCCAGCCATCGCACTTCCAGGAATCAACCCTGAAGATACACATCCAACAATACTACGCAGAAATTCTGGGAAGTGATTGTAGCACGATCTGTAGAAACACTCATACCACAGAGAGCTGTCGAGAAACCTACGGTCTGTTCACATACTGGATGCTATGTAGCTGTTTAAAAAAAAAATGAAGATCCCTATGTCCTGATGTGGAGGGATTTCCAGAATGTATTGTGAAGTAAAAAAAAGCAAGGTAAGAAAGAGTATTTACTGTGGAGTTATTTTTTGTGTAAGAAAGAAAGGAAAAGAAACACATATACACATGTATCTGCTAGTTTTTACAAACAGAAACACTGGAGGATAATCTCAAAATTAATGAAATTGGTTACGCACGGGGCTGGGGCTGGTTGGGGAACTTCTTTGACTGCACCTTTCTTTTTCTTTTTTTTTTTTTCGGTACATGGGTCTCTCACTGTTGTGGCCTCTCCTGTTGCGGAGCACAGGCTCTGGACGCACGGGCTCAGCGGCCATGGCTCACGGGCCTAGCGGCATGTGGGATCCTCCCGGACCAGGGCACGAACCCGTGTCCCCTGCATTGGCAGGCGGACTCTCAACCACTGCGCCACCAGGGAAACCCCTTGACTGCACCTTTTTAATACAGTTTTCACTTTTGTATCAAAAATTAACAAGGTTGGGGGAAATGCCTAAAAATAATTAGGAACATAAATAAATGAACCACACTGTATATCAAACTGAAAACATAACCATACAGAAGAGATTTTTTTAAAAAATAGTTAATAGTTACTCCAAGTTTTAAAAAATTCCCCTCCAGTTTCTTTAATGGACTAGGCAAGCCTAGTCCATAACAGGCATCCAATAAATGCTTTTGGGAGTAAATGAATGAATGAATGACTCAACGACAAAGGCTGGAAGCTGAGAGTCCTGCTTTCCCCTCCCAGGGGTCTCTGCTTGGGTCACAATTTACATAATGTAAGGTCTGTTAAGATCAGTTTCATATCACAAAAATGAGCCACAGGTGGTGTCTGTGGCCCATACTCCTATGGCCCCCCGAACAAGATTTTAAAATCTCACCCTTGCTGGCTTCTTCCCCTTCCCTTTCCTGTTTCCCCCACCGCCTTACCAGCCTCCCATGGGAGACTTCCCTTAATAAAACACTTGCTGTTTTATTTGTTTGCTGTTTTTATTTGTTTGCTGTCATCACAAAGTACCACAGGCTGGGCAGCTTAAACAACAGGAATGTATTGTCTCCTGTTTCTGGAGGCTGGAAGTCTGAGGTCAAGGTGTTGGCAGGGTGGGTTCCTTCTGCAGCCTCTCTCCTTGGTTTGTCAACAGCTGCCTTCTCCCTGGGTCCTCACGCGGTCTTTCCTCTGTGCGTGTCCCTGTGTCCAAATGCCACCTTTTTAGGACACCAGTCATACTGGATGAGGGCCCATGCTAATGACCTCATCTTAACTGGATCATCTGCAAAGGCCCTCTTTCCAAATCCGCACTCACAGGGACTGGGGTTAGGACCTCAGCATCTCCTGAGGACACAATTCAACCCCTAACACTTGCATATGATCCCGCCTTAGACAAGGGCATTGCCGGTCGCTAGCAGGACTGTTGTGAGGATTAATTATCAATACACATCAAGCATTAACAACAGTGTTGGGGGAAAAGCAAGTACGTGGTTGTTATATTTATTATTATGTATCGAGGCATGGTCTCCACCCTCAGAATACCCTAGTGCTGGCCACTGCGCTGGTGCCGTCCCAATGGGACACCTACCAGTCATTTTTCATCCCGTCCTCAATCTCGGCTGCTTGCCAGGCTTACCAGTCCCACGACCGAAAGTGAAGGTCTAGTTCTGTGTCTTTGAGCTTGGAAGAGGCAAAAACCACCTAGGAACAATCGAAGGACAACAGTAGTCTCCTTTCAGAATGCCAGCAGCCTCCACGCTGTGCTGTAGACGTGATCATAAAAGTTACAACGCTCCACCGCCCCCTGGTAACATTTACAAACGTACCTGGAATTTAACATCAAAAAACGCCCAAGGAGGAGGCGCCCGGGCTGAGTCGGCAGATATCAGGGTCTTAAGGGATTGGGGCAGGAGGCTGGCACTATACATGCTGCTGTGAATTCACGTCCGTGGGGGCAGCTTAGGAGGAGGGCTGGGGGAAGGGAGCGGTCCTCTCTTCGCCCAGGCAACACACAGACTCGTGGCCACTTTTGCAGGGGCCCCGGGCGGGTATCCATCCAGGTCCACCCAGCAGGTACGTGTCCTGACCCCACGATTTAGTCGGGCTTTGAGAACCTTGCCCCCCGCACTTCCCCCTCATCAAATATTATTTCAATGTGGTTGGGCGAGGCAGGAGGCAGCCCTGAGTGCGTGGTAGGCTGGGCCGCAGCTCTCGGCTCAGTTCAAGGTCCAGAGGTTCCCTGCGCCGCTGCCAAATGAAATAACGCATTTGTGCATGAAAAGAGAAGCCTCAGAACAAAAGACAGAGAACGGTGCGTGTCCCACTCTTGGCCTTGGTGATGCTTGACATTTCTGGGAAATGAATTTAGTGCAAAACCCAACAATTCAAAACCTTGTGCCAAACAACCGCTGCGAATAGAACCGGTGGGAGCAGAAATAACGTGAAGAGGCAGCGCGTCCTAAAATAGTCCCCGATGGCTGCTGCGTGCACGGGAGCAGAGGGAGGCAAGTCGTCAAGGGTGCTTTATTAAAGCGGAGCCCGAGGCTGGAGCTAGGGCGGGCTATTGAGAAACGCGAGTGCGTGCGTGGGCGGCGGCGGAGGAGAGGAGTTGTCGTTCTGATGAATTCAGTCACCATCTGCGAACGCCCAGCAAACTGTCCACATCCAACTTCCGGTCCCCCCAAGGCCTGGCCGCTGGCCAAGCCGTGGCCACCGTGTCCCACGGCCCATCCCACAGGTCCCACCCACTCAACCTGCCCAGAATGGACTTCTCTCCCTGCCCCCACAGCACACCCAAAAGTGACTCCTCCCACCACGCCCCATCTTCCCCTCTCCACACCCCCATCCAACCTGCCATCTCCATACCTGCCATGTAGAGGCAGCCTTGGGCCAGTAGGATGGGTACAGGCTTGGAAGCCACGCTGCCAGGGGTCTGGGTTCAAATCCTGCCTCTGCCACTTATTAGTCATGTGTCCTTGAGCAAGTTCATTTCTCTGAGCCTCAGTGTCCCCTTCTGTAAAATGGGTGTAACAGCAGCACCTGCTTCCTGTGACTTAAAATTTGTCACAGCATAGAGCTGTGCCTGGTCCAGGTGAACTCAAAAAAAGTTGACTATCATTATTGTTGTTAGTATTAGTATCTCATCGATCTCAGTATGCCCTGTTTCTCTGTCCCCACTGTCCCTTCCTGCAGAACTGCTCAGACCATCTCCAGTCATTCATTCATCCTTCCCTTCCCCTCCTGGCAGCCAGGGAAGGAGCCAGCAGGTGGGGTCCACTCCTGGCCAGGGCCATACCTACTCCCCATCTCAGAGGTCTGAGGAACAGCCCCTGCTCTCCTCTTAAGACCCTTCCAGCCCTTCCTGGCCCCCACATACTCTCACCTTGGAGGATGTAGTTTATTGAATAAGTGTCCCCCCAAAATTCATGTTCACCCCAAACCTCAGACTGTGACCTTACCTGGAAATAGGGTTTTTCCAGATGTCATCCAGTTAAATTCAGTACACACTGGATTAGGGTGGGCCCTAAATCCAAGGACAGGTGTCCTTATACTAAGACGGGGAGACAACACAAAAAGATACACTCAGAGAAGGTGGCCATGCACGGACACAGACAAATATTGGAGTGATGTGGCCACTAGAAGCCAGAAGAGGCAAGGAAGTCTCCTCCCCTAGAGCCTTTGGAGGGAGCATGGCCCTGCCCACACCTTGGCTTTGGACTCCTGGCCTCCAGACTGTAAGAGAATGAATGTCTGTTATTCGAAACCACCGGTTTGTGGTCATTTCTAACAGCAGCCCCAGGAAACTAAGACAAGGCCATTCCACCTTGTGAGCAACTTTGTCCCTCATTAAGTACCATTTACAACCAACAACATAGGAGTCAAACCATGTCCCTGCCGACTAGCAGCCTTACATGACATTTTGTAGATGTTTCATTAAACTGCTATTGATTACGATTTTGCAATTTCTTTTCCATATTTCGCTGCCAATGATTGCTTTCCCCAGGTTTCAAATGTTTCTTCGGCCTTTGAAAATCCTACAGCCCAAGGGCCCCATGCCTATGAGGCCTGGTAGATGGAACACTCCACCCACTACAGCCTGGCCACCTCCTGCATGCTCGCGCACCCAGGCAGTAAAGCGGAAGCTGCGGGTTGAGGGCGGGCCAGCTGGCTCTGCCTGGCCAGTTCCACCTGCTCTTGTCGTCCTTGCGTCCTGCTCAGCTTTCACATCCCTTCATCCTCCATCCTTCCTTGGGCATCACATCTGCCTCCTCTGTGGACCCTGGAAAGTTCCCAGCCACCCCCAACCCATCTCCTAAGAGTCACCTGTCTGCCTGCCAGCGAGCAAGTGCCTGGCCTGTGGCAGGACTGGGCCAGCGATCATGATACCTGCAGAGCGAATGAATGAGGTGGATCCCCCCGAGCAAGGAGGAGGCCCAAGCTACACCCACCAAGGGGGCCAGTTTGCTCTCTTCATTGCTGACTTGGAGCCATTGCTGGTGACGTGTGACCTCTCCCGGGGGGAAACAGAACCCCAGCTCCCACCCATCTTGGGACACTTAACCTTCCAGTCTCTCAGGGTATCCACCTGTAATAGGGGTCCTCACATCACCCTCCCAGCCCTGCACCGTGGCTGTGGGATGGGAGTTACCCCCCACACGTGGGTTGGCGCCCGCAAATCTTGCACCATTTTATTGGATTCCACTTGAAAACATGAAGATAAACGGCAGCTAGATGCCCAATCTCTACGGCTCTTTCCGTCATAAAGCTCCGAGATCTCAATGTCTACGCCAAGTCACTTTTAATTTCTTTTTAACTAAGAATTAGCTCGGAGGTAATTGCTTCCATCACGTTGATGGAAATCAAGATGAAGTAAATAAAATGAAAAGCAAAACTGAACCTGAACGTCTTCCTCGTTGCCTTTGAATAGTATGATGACAAAAAACTATTTGACCTCCCAGGCTTGGAGTTTTTGTTGTTGGACATCTAGAAAGGAGATGTAATTATAGGGCTCATTTATCAAAAAGATTAAGGAAATCAGGGAATGGGAATTGGTTTGCAACAGTTCTGGAAATTATATCAACGTGACCCTTTGGTTCTGCATTTTTCACTCTGTGTCCAGCAAGGTTCTCGAATTCTGCAGTTTTCCTCCCTCCCTCCCAGCTCCCCAGATCAATACTCATGAATAAGGTTGATCCTGAGGGGCTGCAGGAGCAAGAGGCCAAAGAGAGGCCCCCGCCTCCCATTCCAGGATGGGGGGATGGAAGCCCCGTCAACTCAGTGCAAGGCTGGCTGGCGGGAGAAAGACTTGTTTTCCTCAAACTGTGTTACCAAGGATACAGCATCCAGTCCTTGGGATCTGAATGAAAGAGCCTGGTTTCCGGGGGTTTTTGTGCCTTTCATAATTTAGAATACGTTTGGTTTTCATTTGCAACGGGCCTGCCAGCCCGTCCTCCCCACAGCTCTGTGAACTCGCCCGTAACGTGAATAAATCAAACTCTCTCAGCTCCAGCTGCCTCACGGGGAAGAATTTGGGGTGTTAGGAGGATCAGAGGATTCTCTTGGTTTGGGGGTTCTCAAGACTTACCCTGGGAGTGTTTCCAAAGGACTTTTACAAAATGCACACTCCTGGTTCCCATGCCCTGGGTGAGGTCCAGGCAGGTTTTGTGGAAGTTCCCCGGATGGTTCTGGGGTACATCTTAAGAAACAAGTCCAGCACCCCTACTTCAAGCGAGGCAATGGAGGCCCTGTGGGGCTGGGGAGGGGTAGGGGGAAGTGGCCAGGAGCAGATGGTCATTAGCAGCAGCCCCGGACCTAACAACCCTGACAGTGCAGGGGAAATGGGAGCAGAGGTATCGTCCCTGGCTCTGCCTCTTGCCAGCTGTGTGACCTTGGGCAAGTTACTCGACGTCTCTGTGGTCAACTTCCTTAGCTGAAGTATGGGGACAGTACAGCCCTTCCTTTTGCTGGGCTGGGGTGAGGCTTACAGGAGATTACACCAGTGTGTCATGGGACCCCCCCCACCGACGTCCAGTATCATTATGTCCAGCACGTGTCTTTGTTGATCCTGCACCATAATGAAATGGGGCTTTGGAGGTGCTGTTCCCACAGTCCCCAGGGCTTCTGCCTTAGCTGGCCACTCTAGACGTTTCCAGGGATGGCTATTTCCTGACACCATCCTGGCCCTGTCTGCCCTCCAGGGAACAGTGAGCCAGGCGGGATGCCCAGAGGGCCCTGGCTGCCGGGCCACCCTGCTTGATGGTTTCTGGGCCTGGAGATGGGCACGAGGTTTCCCCTCATTGGCTGCTTGGGGCGTCATCTTTGCACACACAACCCCTCTGTCAAAGGCTCTGAAAACCCCATGAGTGCTTTCCTGGAAAAGAGTTCCCCAACCTGAAAGCTGTGTTTCCTAGGCCACCATGACAAATGGCCACAAACTGGGTGGCTTAAGACAAATTCATCTTCCCACAGTTCTGGAGGCCAGAAGTCCAAAGACAAGGTGTCAGCAGGGTTGGTTCTTTCTGGAGGCTCTGAGGGAGAATCCATTCCATGCCTCCCTTCTCTTCCGGTGGCTGCCGGCAATCCTTGGCATTCCCTGTCTTGCAGAAGCATCACCCCAATCTCTCCCTCTGTCGTCACATGGCCTTCTTCCCCCATGAGTCTGTGTCTTCTCTTTTGTCTCTTATACGGACACTTGCCACTGGATTTAGGGCCCACTCAGTGAATCCAGGATGATCTCATCTTGAGATCATTTAATTACATATGCAAAGACCCATTTTCCAAAGAAGGTCACATTCACAAGTCCTGGAGGTTAGGACTGAATATATCTTTGCGGGCCACAATTCAACCCACTGCAGAGGGGTTTCAATGCCTGTATTTCCTTGATTCTAAGATTCTCTTTCCTCCCACATTTTAATATTTAACTCCACATGTATCTTAAAACCAGTGATCAACTCCAGTGCAGTACTTCTGCCTCCCCACAAGCTATTATTAAATCCATGGTAGTTGTGTTTCTCATCTATTGTGAATTGACATAGTTCCAGGCTCTGGTCAAAGGAAGGTCTCAGGGCCTCCAGGCTGGGGTCTCTTCTTGCTGGA